GTGACTCATTGGACGAGTAGGCAGGAGTGTGCCTCCAGACACCTATGCAGGCAATTGCAACTTGAATGAATGGGCGTGGCGATGAGAGCGCGAAGGCACGGATTGGGATGAACTGTGATGTCCCAATGACCTTACTAGGCGCAAATATGACTTGACCGTAGGGGCTGCAGAGCTATATCGGTAAGGCATTACCGTACACGCACAAAATCAGGGCTACATAAGGCTAAATGTCTATCCACTGAGGGAGGCTAGACCAGACCAATTCAATACTAGTATTTAACGATGAGGCGAAAGTGGGTAGAAGTATTTTTTTACAGTCTGTCAGGTCTGAGACCACATAGACATACCCACCTGGCTAAAGAGATAGAAAAGTCAGTCAGCAAGCACCTACGTTCTGGCATCTCTTCAAGAAGTTTTTATACACCGATGAAGTCTTGCCAACTAAATCGAACACTAGCGACTGGGGAAAAAAGGGTCTTGAGAGGGTTGTGATAGCCCATGTTTGTGTGAATTAAAACACAAGAGGAAACATTCAAAAATGAGATGAAATAGATTAAAGACGTACCTTTAGTTCGTTGTGTGGCATTTCTGTCAATCCGCCATACACTTGGCACACGTGTTTTGTAAATCTTAGACTCACATTCTCTTGCTCCAAGCACACAGATTAAGGTTGTTGTTGGGTTTTTTACGCGGTATATGCACGTGGGTAGTATATGTTCGCAATCTAGGCCGCTATGGTATATATATTTTTTGAATTTTACTATTTCTTTAGTGTCAGTAAATAACTAGGTGATTATTTCGGACGATTGCATATATCGGTGAAATGAATAGAATAGCGGCAAAAGCGCACCAAGAGAGGCTGAGTGGGCATCCGTTCATCCCCAACAAGAGGGCTTTAGGACCCAAATAATTGCGTTTGATGAGTCCACCCCAAAAAATTGGTTTCAGAAAGCTCTGGTGATTACATGGGGAAAGTTTTCGAAATCCATGGTCACCACCACACTCCCACCGCCTTCCAACGCCTATTGGCACTGACAAGGCGAGCTTATTGCTTTTTGGTACATTTTTCCATGCTCCGCCAACTAGGATTCTTTAAATAGCTCCAAATTAAGTAAACGAAGCATGTGCGGAAGCCATGACTGGCGGGAAAGCTTTGTACCATGGAACAGTTAATTCAAGTGGAAAGAATCGCCACACACAACTAACAACTCTTTGACAAATGATTAGCCAGTGGTCAAACTGCCGTATCGCCTTGTTCACAATAAATGTCAAATCAACTGGCCTAAATAATCAATTACTAAGAGGCATTTGGAGTTTGGACTAAATTACTCCATCTCATATGTTTTTGAAACGGATATGCAACCCACAAGGTCCATTACAGCCTCCTTTTTAATTACCTCTGCCTGAACTTTTGAAAAAAAGCGTGGTTTGATCACTGAATTATTTACTAAATCTGGATGTACTTTCTCAACAATGTTGCTGGCGGTGAACAGCAAAACAGAGTTTCCATAATGCACACTTATACGACGAGGCTACTAATAACGCTTGTCAGTAGCACGTGTGTGACCGCATTGAATTACTAAAATAATTGTGGATAACAAATAAAAACCTTTCGATGAATTGAATGGTCCTTACTTCTATCCGAACGATGACCATTTTCGTACTTGTTGCAACAGTCTACTTCCATCTTCATCGCCAAAGTCGACGAAAAAGAAAGTTAACCACAATAATAAACATTCTACACAAGTTTCACTGTTTTGAACGAATTACCCGCGCCACCCCATGACGCAACAAAGTGTCGCCAACTGATGCAGAACATACAAAAAACACGTGATACTGATATAGAATTTGTTCAGGACTATGCACTAATCACCTCCGAAGGTGTTATAAAGCACGAGAATGGGTAAACAAGAGGCATCAGATGATGAAACATTTAGGCAGAGCCAACGCCTGATTGCACATCAAAGCTCAGACACATTGAGATTAGAAAACTAAAGTTCAGGCCTGTGAGAGGTAACTAAACAAATCTGGTGGCTCAAAGTATACAAATTTGAACCACCAAACAGTAGTCCACAGAAGTTTGGGTAAAATAACATGACAAAAATGAAAGACTACTAAAACTAAAGGCCACTTATGCACCGAACGCCTAGTGAAAACAGCAGTCGTGGCTAAGGCATCAAAAAGAAAAGCGAAACACAAGACACTACACCCAAATGGACTTTTTGGTGCCATCACTAGGCTCTGTAATCGCGTCCGTGGTTTAAGCAGTGTGCAACTGCGCATTTTTGACTACATACTTGGACAGAAATTCGTAAGCACCTGACGCTTTTTGACAACTGTGAATCGATCGATGGTGGCATTTCGCGTCTGAGCAGAGGGACAACGCGTGGTTAAGAGTTAAGCATTTTTCCATTTCTTCTAAAGAAAACGTTAATCACTTTGCATGAACAGAGAGCTCACAATTAGGGAGAAGTATGTATTGGGGGAGATAATCCTAGCTGAAGTCTTCTATCTCCTTCAATTGGGTATCTTCTTCTACCTCACTTGGCGTTGGTGGCAGGATAATAAGGCAGTGAGGAAGAAACTCACGATGCCCAAGAAGAGGAATGATTTACTGCGCCACGATTGGGTAAGTAGCTTAACTAGTTGTTACTTAAGTAGATTGAAGAAAAAGGAAGCACTCCTGATTTCGCGCCCTTTTTAGGCAACTCCCGACGCGACTGTGTTTTATACTGGGACCAGCGAACCAGAGGGAGACGAAGGCGCAAGACGAATGTGTAAGGGTGTTTGTCGTTTTAGGTCGAGTAAATAGTTTCTACTGGAAAAAAGCAAGTAGATGTATTGGAATAGGCTAGCTTCAGGATTTATAAATTCTACAATCAATTGCTTATCAGATTAGGCACTTAAAATGCAACAATGACGGTGGCACACCAAGACGGAAATAATGACACGCGTTGTAACCACTCCCTCCAACTTTCAGTGTTCCCGATTTTGCTTACTAAAAGCGTCGGATATTCCCACTTCCAGCATGAGTGGCTAGTTCAATTTTAGTAAACCTAGACATGTCTTAACATTCCTCAAACCTGTAGACATCAGCAGGTCCTTGTTATTGCATGGGCGATCACTGCTGATCACATTGACGACATCGAAGAACTAGATATTTCATCAGGTTGATACGGAATGACCTCACCGCTCAATGCAAAGTCTTGCAAAAGCTCACCAATCAGCTTTAACACTTGACAAATAGTGAGAACGGGTAGCATCCATCCAAAGAAGTGAAGGTACTAATAACACCCCTGAGATTCACTCAACAAACAAGGACCAAACTTCGAGTAGGAAAATAGTGACAATTTTCCCGCTGATTTCACAAGGGAACGCTGAGACGGCGGATTTTTTAGAAGCATACTAAATGGCAACCTGTGCCGCGTAAGCGTGCTAGTTGTGTGAAATAAAACTCCGAAAAGAATAGTTAAACCAGTCTACCGAAATGAAGCTTCTATTGTCTTACAGCGGTTGACCACACAGAGCGGACGAGCTCTTCCACTATTAAGGGCCAGTTTTCTCAACGTAATCAATCACAAACAAAAGCGGACTCACCTTATTTGCTCGCATCTTCTTCAAGTTTCCGACCCAATCTGCCCGGAACGTGGTTCTCTAATTACGATAGCCAAAATGGGAGCAAAAATTCACATGAAATTTGTGAGTTCCTACGCAGAACACTTGAAAAATAGATGAAGGTCTAGGATGCCTCATTTGAGACGTACTGAGAGACTTTTCGCCTTCAAAATAAACATAACATGACAGGTGAAGTGACAGGAGGCAAAACAAATTAATGATATGTAAGTAGATAACTGAACAAAAAAATGCTTTTTTTCAAAAACATGTTTTAGAGCATTCAACACAAATGCTTCAAATGCTTGACCATGCATTAGACACGAACTAACTGTTACACACCGGAAGGGGAACGGCCTCGCCAGACACCCGCCTTCCAAGACAGCAAATCAACATAATTCGCGCAATGTCCAGACCCCTCCAACCATCCACAATGTTGATCGACTGTAAAAGAGTAACGCAGATTTCAGCATTAAAAGTGAAGATTTGAGAAGCTGACTTAGAAGGACCACAAGGTTTGTAAGGGATTCAAAATAGGTGAGAAATGTACATAAAAATTTAGGGCAAGCAGTACTAGACATCGTGCGAAGCCTTTTGGCACTGAGAAAATTGCCCAATACTAAGGCTTTTGATGCGATTGAATTATTATGTAACGGTTCTCGTACAGAGTTGTTCGTTTGCTCACCACTCGGTTAAGAAACTTGGCTGGCCTCTCGACCATCTCGGCAGCCTAAACTCATACTGTTTGGTAAACGATCTCCAGCCTCTAGGACATACAACTTCTGCAATGATTATGAAATCCAGCGTCAACTAAACCAAAACATTGAGCATAGGGATTGAGGGGTCTAAAGATGCTTATGCTGGTCGCAGATTTTGCGTCGCATTGCAAAGCAAGATTGGGGTTCTCTGCAGCAACATGGCTTATATCCCTAAGAAAATTCAACCGCATAGGAGAAATAGAGAAATATGTCAAATTTGCATTCGAAAAAGCGGTAGAGGTTTGCAAACGGCGACCCTTTTGAGTGAACATGCCCACGCATATAATGCAATCCTGAAGCTTTCACTTCAGCGGATAACAGCAACATATTTTTACGGTTTATCAAATAATGCAGCTGCCACCGGTCAAACAACCAATTATAGTGGGAAAATTTAGCGCAGTGTTTGGTGTGAGCTAAGGTCATAAAGTTGTTGGCAGTTGTGGCGTGATGAGCTCTTTGAATATACGGTATCCTACCGGTCATTTAGAGGTTTTTCCAGTTAAACCTCAAGCGCCCTTGATACAGGTAACCTGTCTTCCATGGCACATATTTCTAGGTTTTCGAGGCGGCATGTGCTAAGAGATCGTTGGACCCGAAGTCACACAAATTAGTGTAAGCATTTAAGGTGCAAAGTACGAGTGATGACTTTTCGCTTTCAACTTCTGCCTTCTGTTGGTGTCTGAAAGGTATAAGAAGAAAACTGTCGATTTGAGCCTTCCTTTCAAATACTCTGGTTTGACCAACCGCGCAACAGTGGAGCTGGTCGCTCAAGATGAGGGGGAGACGACGCTATGCCCCTCGGACATCACTGTACGCATTGGGATTCGTCTTGAAGACAGTCATAGAGTTGAGTGGAGTGGATACTCATCTTCCTCAATCTGGGACATCTTAGAGACACTTGCCTCGCACGACAAAAGGTGGGTCCTTGGTCCCTTTTTGGAAGGGTTTCCATTTTTTTACATCAAAGCAATCATTTTTATACTTAAGGATCGCCGACCTTCTTGCACCGACAACTGATGGCCTTGTACCAACCGTGGTGTATCTGCGAAACCAAGTAAGTTGTGAATTTAAAATATATCGCAGTTTTTCCCTAATAGATTAGTGGAGAAAAATCACTTCGCGAGACAACAGTCCATAGTTTGGGTATTCGAGGCTCTGCTCTCTTTCAACTTCATCGTGGACCACCTGAGCTTGTCAAAGGTGCTGAAAAAAGCTCCCCTCCTGTTCAATCTTCTTCTGGTAAGTTTTGTAGTTAAATTATGGCAAATTGGAACATGTATAACGTGTTTGGAGTAAGTGGGCTCAATCAGTTGGGATTTAGGCCATGGTTGTGATGATAATGCGTTTGATTTTACCCCAGATCTAGTCTCTCTCTCTTAATTGCACATGGATATGTAAAACGGGCTTTACTTGAACTTTTTACAGGTGGAAATCGCTTTTTTAGCACTGAAGCATTCAGTCATTCTGCTGTTTTATGGTAGTTCTTCAATCGTTGAGGTGCGTTTTGACATACCTTGATGATTGAAAACAGTAAAAGCTTGATTGGCTCACCGATGTGCCACTATCGAAACCTAAGCTTGTGGTTTTGGTTGCTTTTGTAGCTCAAGCACTCGGGTATATGTTTAGCAAACAGAGCATGGTTCATTGTATTTCACTTTAATCGTGCGTTTTACGCGTGAGCTTCACATGGGAAACTAATTTAAGTTGATATTGCGACGCTGGACGATAGTGAGAACTTAAAGACAGTCATAGTGAAAGGACCAATTCTCTTATCCATCCAGCAGTTCATTCACCTCAGGGAATTTACCCACGGGTTGGCAAAAGTTTAAGAACGAATTTGGCAATGATTGGTACAGCTTTGTGTAGGTAAGCGATATATTCTTTAAGCCGGTACATCTCTGTCATCACCTGGAATAGTACAGTCCTCCGAAAGCTCACCTTCTCTCGGGAAAGATATACCGCAGCCAGCGGTCTTAGAGCATTCGCCTACATCGACCCCAGCAGAAGAAATGGGCCAGCCAAGTTGCGGAAACCATTTGTCTTAGGAGGAGTTCAATTCGATACTTCTAGGTGGCAGTAGTGGCAGTGGAACTGGTGCATCAGGAAGTTCTTCGCCCCCTGCGAAGAAACCGCCGCCACCATCAGCCTCACAGGATTTGTCGCCGTTGGCGCCATTAGCAGGAGGCAGTCACTTGGCCTACACGCAACGCTTACCCCAGGGCGAGTCCGCTTCTATCGTCTTTCCAGGTGGTAGCGGCAGCTCTCCTGGCGCGGCTACTTCTTCGACACTGGATCCTTTCTCCATTTTCGGCTCTGCGTCGTCAAGATCCATTTTCGATCCGGATGAGTCGACACGAGAAAATCCTAAGAAGGTGTGGTCTTTGAAGCTCTTTTCATGCTTAAAACCAACATTGAAGTCGGTTGTCCTACATGGATTGACGCACTTAAAATGTTTTTGTTGGCTTAGCTGGCAATAACTAGAAATGCTGACTCTGATGATCACAGGATTTACTTAGACGGTTAGTTATTTAACTCGATGAAAACTTTAAGAGGTCGGTTGCCACGATTTTTAAGCAGAGTTAAGGTGCGCACAGATTGGCAAATCTCCTCCCATTATATTATTCGAAAAGTAGGACGTACACGGATTTATTTATTCTGTATTTCCATGACTATTCGTTTGACTTGCTTTGTTGATGAGGTTTTGGGCCTGAAAATGAGTCCTCTTGTCAGATGGCTGGTAGATGTTTTGAGCAGTTACTTTTCCTTGTGTGTACGCATTACTTTAGAAAAGTATTACGAAGCCTGTGGAAGGTTTAGATTGAAATGCGGAAGTAGACATCAAAGTTGCGACCCATTCCTTGTCTATGTGACTTTTTTATTTATGCCAAAAACAACACCCCGTCTTTACTACCCTCAATCCCTCACAATTGGTGGCGTTGTTTTGTAAACACTGAGAGTGTTGCTCAAAAATTCATTTCTGCAAAGAAGTCATTATCAGTCATCGTTTTTACCTTAAATATTTAAACTTTGTTATGAATGCAGTCATCGGAACAATTTGGAGACGTTTTTTCGTTATCCCCTCTTAATTTGACTCCTCTTCTAAAATACTTCCGCTCAAGCTGTTTAATTTGGGACGAACTTCCACCATGATAGAAGGGTTGCTTTTTCTGACAAAATAGAATATGGGATGTTTAAAATCGGAAGTGGAGGATCATTGGTCGGATAGCCCATCTTCGTTGCCAAAGGTTATCTAAAATGGATTGTAATCAGTTTGTGATCCGCCTCTAGCACCATTGGTCGTGATCTGGTGGCTTATGCAATGGTTTTGAAACACAACCCGAGGTTTTCCACCTGGTGTGGATTTTGAGCCTCCTTCGCTATGTATCTCCTGCTCTTTTTGCTCCTTTGAGCTACTTCTTCTAATGCTTTTTTCGAGCTATGAAGAAGTCAAGTGTTTACGAAAGGAGGGAGGAAGTTAGAATTGATCTTCTTTGTCTTTTAGTCACTTACAGTGGGTGAGATGATTGGGGTCAGTCTGGAGCCCGATACACCAACCTCTTCCCGACACCAGGCCATATCGGAACACCCTGAGTTCAAGGTGCGACTCATCAGTGAATCTCTCTTTCATTTATTGCTCCTCTCCTTTTCGTGCCTTTCATTCCTCCAACAATTCGTTTACTCATATTCTCGCTCATCAATTTGTTCTTCCATTCGTTCATTGAATCACTATTTTACTCAAACATTTTGTACACACTGCTGGTCATTTTCTCTTCTTTCCATCCTCAGTTCCCCACGGAGACAGAGGGTCAAGATCTTCTGCACCTCCAAAAAGCGTAAGTCATTGAATACTCGTTTTACCTTTGACCTTCTCGTTGGCCTTTGTGTCTCCAAATAGGGGAAGTGGCATAACACTGTTGTCTGAACAGTAGCTCACATCTTTTGGTCATTTTTCCATGGTTATTTTTTCCGAAATCTCTCCTTTGGTTCCTTTTCTTTCTCGAAGTTGGCCTGAATTTGGTGATTATATGGTAGTTCAAGGTGCACTCCATGAGTTCACGCATCCTATGTGGCTCACCTTTAGGAGATTGTCCTATTTTACCGTGCCACACCTCCATCGCATCACCGCGTCAGCATCCCCAAATCTAGTCACACTCGAATGCATCACTTTAACGATAATACTGTTGCAGAGATGAAAGTGCTCACACGTCAACTGGAATGTGTGAACGGGAGGAGGTGCTTTTTCGAAGGCAAACCTCCGTCTCGCACGACTTGGAATCGGGTAAGGTTTCTTTTATTCGCAATTCCTCCCCCTCCTGGTAAACAGCTCCACAAACAAGCCGATTTTCACGCGTGTAGAAGAGCTACCCGACGAGTATTTCGAACTCACTGAACGTGAACTTCGTCTCATCATCGCCGGTCTACGGAAGGAGGCGTAAGTTTGGCTTTCTTGTTGCCTTAAGTCATATCTTTGCAAAGTTATCGAAAAGAAGGCTCCAGGATGCATCTCGCCGGAAAGTGCTGTTCATTTATTCAGTCCCACTCCATTATGACAATTGCTTTATGCTCCTCATTAGTTTAGTTGCCTTTTTCATGGTTCAATCATTCATTTGGGCCATGTCTTCATTCGATGCATGAAGTACTTGGTTCCTCTCTCATGCATTCATCCAAGCTCCATCTCTCACAGCTAATGTTCCTCTACGGGATGTAGAGGCTATTGGGCATGCACTCCTCGCTCATCCATGGAGATCTTCCGAGACTTGAAGTAGATCTGTTCCAGACGTAAGGGGGGCAGTTGTAGGGATTAGGTGGTGAAGATTTTGCAAGACGACCTCCACCCATTGACGCGAATTCTGCATTTCAGCAAGAGACCACTTCAGAGGTGACTGCTCTGCCTTTAATGCTATATGCCTTCGTCCATTTCATCTCCAGTTAATGGTTTTATGGCTCTAAGTAGAAAGAGGATTTAACGGTTTCCACTTTTTTTCCATCAGAAAACCCATTCCAAGGTGATTTCTCTTTCTTTAATTCCAACACAACATGTCCGTCCTCCATCCATTTACCTTCTTTTGATACGTTTACAGCTCTCAGTTTTTCAGCTCTAAATAACCAACTAATTTTGGCATTATTTTTTGTCTCTTTTAAACTTTATTATTCCTCCCAGAGGTACGGACGTCCCACTGGGCGAACGCAGTCTTCAAAGGTCAGCAAGATCTGCATTCATTGAGAACTGTGAAAGATGCATTATTCGATTTACCTGGTCTGATGACATTTACCTTCAAGCCTGCTTCAGACCTCAAGAACATGGTAGCCCACCTTCATAGAGTGCTTTTACCACCTCGCCTTGCACTGTCTCATTCGTCTTGCTTTGCTATTCTACAGTGTCCGCTCTCTATGATTTCCTACGAGAACGATTGGCGAACAGGGAGTTGTCCTTCCAGCTGTGTACGTCTACTCTTTTTTTTTTTGAGGAGAGAAAAAATTACCAAGTTTTGCTTGAATAGACCTTATTAACACTTTCCACTCGTTGCCTTAGTTACCACACCTCCGCGAGTTATTCTTTCACACATGGATGCAACACTCATGGAGGTGAGTGGTTTGGATAAACCCTGTCTGCGGGTTGGATTTCATGGGGCTTGATTAATTAGTTCTAGCTGAAGAAACTATGGTGACGTGTTGGGAGGGAGCACCAAGTGGTCACAGCTGAATGCGCTGTACAACAACTTGTTGCAGGTGGTAAAGGCCCTTTTTGGAGCTTGGCGTGTGGACTTGTTGTAACATGCAGAGGCACATCACTTCGCTGGTACGGTCTTATTTACTGCGTTTTCCAATGTCTGTTGGAAGGACCTCCTCATCCTCCGTGCGGGGAGGACTACCGTGAATAAGTTTTTATTAACACCATGGGATTTCGATGAAATCCACCTCACTCCTGTCTGTGTTAAGAGCTCTCACAATGGAGGCGCTTCAAGAGAGCAGTTGGCAGTGC